TATAGAAGGGATAAGGATCAAATAAACGCTTATTCTATTAGAAAATTTTTGCTCTTCATTATATTTGAGTTGAATCTTACTTATATTGATAGAAGAAAAAAAAGGTTTATAAATCACATCCACATAATGTGAGGGGGTACTACATGTGATAGTGAAATGAGACCTTGTGTGATAGTGAAATGGAACCTAAAGATAAAAAGTGGAGTTAGAATCGAAGCTAAAATTTAAAATTTATCAATTTAAATTTATCATAAAGTCATAATTTTTTTCAGTTATTAAGTTTGCACTAAATATTTATATATGTGTGTGAATTTTCTGTTATAACTACAAAATTTAACAAAAAACAATTGAGTTCATCCGAATTTTATTCGTCCGAATTAATAATAAATAATGCCTCTAGAGTGAGTCTCCTTAATGGCTAGAAAGTCTTGAATCAATGTGAACAACCACAAAATGACATGTTATTAATTAATTATTATTAATAGCAATATTTAAAAGAAGTGGTTGGTCTAACTTCTTACTTGAATTACCAAATTGATTCTCCCACATGATGTAGTCACTCAAGTGGCCAGTACATTATGGGATATGAAAAGACTTAGCCAACCTGTGACTCTGAAATTCAGCAAAAAATAGTAGGGCAACAATATTTAAATATATATAGGTACTATTAGAAATAAATAGGTTTTTTCTCTCACGAATCAATAAGGAATTTATATTATAAAGGTGATTTTTTCATTGAACTAGCTCACTGAAAAAACGGAAAATGAGAAATTGCTTCTCATCAAAATACTGAGAAACTTTCTTATTTTTTCGTATGAAAATATTATTATTTTTTTCTTTTTTCATTGTCTTGAACTAAATATTTTTGGAAATAGCTACTGAACACTTTTTAGTGAAAATTTTCAATGGAAAGATATTGACATTGATATTCTGTGTCCGTAGGATCAATTCCACCTTAGAGATCTTCCAAATCCGCAGCTACAAGCTATCGAGTGGGTACATGATCTCCTACTGGTGATATATGCAATCGAAAAATTTAAATATGCAAGATATAGAAAGGATATATGCCATTCTTGAAGGGCTAAGGAAGAGTCTATTCATGTACAATTAATTTTGTAACAAAGCAAAAAATGACAAAAACTCTTTCTTCTCGATAGCAGGCGAGGCAAAAAAGACAACTAATGCCCCTTGCTTAATATATTTTTTTAGTAGTGAGGCAAATTAGATGTTTAATGCAACTGGACAAATCTTAAAATGGGAAAAGTTGGGGTTGGGTGAAGCTAAATTGTCAAGTTTCTAGATGAGAAAATCTAAGATTTTCAACTTAACTAGGATTTGTTGGTGTGAAAATGACAGTTTTAATAGTTAATTAAAGAGATTGCCATTTTTAAATTTTAGTGTTAATGGTTAAATATATATATTATTTTATTTTTGTGCAAGTTTCGTATCTCAATTATTTATTGTTCTATTTATCTATTTAAATTATTATTTCGTGTGTATTAAAACATACCTTAATACTGAGTTGCCAAAATATTATTACCACTCGACAATAGGTGTGTAGGCTAACTCAACATCGAAATGTATTTTAATAGAAAAGAAATGATAGTTTAAATAAGTAAATGAAATGATGAATAATTGAGGTATAAAATTTCGTAAAAAATCATAGTTATCCCTAGGGGTGTACATGACCGGGTTGGTTCGGGTTTTTCAAATATCAAATCAAATCATTTGTGTCAGATTTTTAAATCTATAAACCAACCAATAAAACTCGGATTTTTCAACCTTGGATTTTTTTGGGTTTTTCGGATTTTCGGGTTTTTCCGGTAAAGTATTCATACAAACATATAATTTACTTGTACTTCAAATATTTCTTTAGTCCTACCAAAATACAACTATCTAAGGTGTTTCTTAAGAAAATAACACAAAATATGATATGAGTAATGACACTAAAATATCCAATAAAATAATAATAATAATAATGAAATCGCGTAAAACAAATATTGCAAATTAACAAGTCATAATGAAAATGATCATAATTTAAAAGTACTAAATCATGCTAAAATAAGTTTAATAAGTATTAGTTACATGACTAAATATTAAAGGAAATTAAAATAAGATTATGTATTTGAATTGTCTAAACCAATGTAAAACTAAAGAACAAATATTCAATATTATTGTCATTTTTAGTGTTGAAATGATTTTCTTTATGCATTAGTATTAATTTGATTTTGATTTAAGCTTTATTATAATTACCAACATTTGTGGACTATAATCTTTATTGTACCATTCAGAATTCTAAGTTTCAAATTTGAAATAATATATTAAAAGATAAAAACTATGAAAAAGTATAAGAAATAATTAAAAATTATATCAAAGTAAACATTTTTATGTATAAAATAAAATTTTAAAATTATATATATAATGTCGGGTTGGTTTGGTCTCGGGTTGGTTTATTTTAGTTAAAACCAAACCAACCCAAATATAGTCGGTTTTTTTTTCAATACCAAAACAAGTCAAACCAACCACTAGTCGGGTTTTTTTCTTCGGTTTGACTCGATTTGCGATTTTGTTTGGTTTTCGGTTCGATTTTGTACACCCCTAGTTATCCCTTTGTCCAACAATGGTTGTCTACTATACTATTTTGGGATGTCAAACAATATTTGTTTACTTTATGAAATCAATGGATAGTTTTGCTCTTAATTCCTAATTTGCTCTTATCATTAATTATAGTCATTTTCCGATTATATTTTTCAAGACATTGTATTTATTACTCCCTCCATCGACTTTTAATTGCAATAGTTTCCTTTTTTAGGGTCAAACTATAAGAACTTCGACTAACATTTTACAATGTATTTTTTCATCATTTGATATGCAAAAAATTGTAATTTATAGTACTTTTCATATAGTTTTTGAATATCTATATTTCTTGTTAAAAATTTGAATTAATGTAATCTAATTTAAATTTGAAAATTACTTAAATTGACTTTTGAAAAACGCAACATGACAATTAAAAGTGGACAGGGGGAGTATATTCAAAAGGTGATATAGTAAAATTATCCTTCTATTTATAGTTTCTTAAAAAATGTACAAAATCAATAAAACGAAAGTTATTAGAATCAAATTAGGATTTTTTTTATTTTTTCCCAAATTAGGATTTCAACTAATGGTAGAGATAAAATTTTAATTAAAAACAGTTCAAATATAAATAATTAAATACATTTTTTATATTTATATATGTAATGTAATTAAGTATTTTTTAGTGAATTAACGTCAATTCAATTGACCCGGTTGCTCCGCCGCTGATTTCAAGTACTTGAGTGGAAAAAAAGGTCTATAAGAATTCTCCTAAAACATTTTCCGGTCTTCAATTTTTACTTGTTTTGTGTCGACTTAAACAAATTTTGATTAGTATTTTAAAATATATGTTGTATATTTTGACGTGAGAAAAATTATATTTATAGTATTTTTTTTTTTGAAATGTCGAGAGCAATCCATAAATTTTGTCCGTGAACATTTTGTTAATCTGCTCACTGTGTAATAACTCGCGAATTGTGTGATATAAATCATGTTAGACAAACCTCATGCAACGAGATCACGACTAAGTAGCAGACAAAGATTGGATTCAATCCTATGAGAGACCTGCCTCCCAACCACTCAACCATGCACTTGTTGGCTTTATTTTAAATTTTGTTTAATTATAAAATATACTTATCCTTTTCTATTTAGTTATTACCATTTTGGGTTTCATGTCCTTTAAGAAACTATATAATCTTACCATTGTACTTTTATGTAGTATTTTGCTTGAAGTCAAGTTAATATATAAACATGATCCTTAACTTGACTTCAACAAATAACTATGCCCTCCAACTTTGAATGTGCACAAGTATGCACTTAAATTTATATAAAATTGAACAAGTAGACACAAGTGTCCTAAATGACACAATACACGTAGGACACCATGTATGACACAAAATTGTCATGTAGGGTGCCATATAGGACGAATGTGTTCATTTATTCAATTTTATACAAATGTAAATGTCTACTTGTGCACACTCAAAGTTAAAAGTCATAGTTGCCAACAAATGTCAAATTAAAGGTCATGCTTATGCATTAAAATGAACATGGATAAGTTTATTTTGATTAATTAATTTGATCAATGAACATGAATTAATTATTTAGTTTTTCTAGGTTGGTCAAATACATAATTTCAATGCTAATAACATTCAAGGGTAAAATAGGAAGTATAGTGTTATTTATGCATTGATTTTGTGAAATGACAGGTACTTCCTATTGAATTGTTACACCTATTAAGAAAAAATGATAGACATAGTGAGTTTACCATTTTATCTCTATTAATTATGAAGTCGATGAACAAAAAAATTTAAGACTTTCAAAAAGTTCTACCTTTTTTTAAGTAATTAATTGAAGGTATAATAGATAAAAAAAATTGTCCTTGATTTGTCAAAGGGGACAAATAAAAAGAAACAAGTAAAAAAAAGGACAAGTAATTAGGGATAGAAGGAGTATGAAAGAACATTTGTTTTAGTAAGGACGACTTGTAAATAAGAGCAAAGAGAGTAATTTTAAAATATTTATTTTATTATAATTTATAGACACACAAATATCTATAATTTATCATAAATTTCAAAAAGGAAAATCTTTTTTCAAAGACTTGATGAAAAAGAATTGAAAAATGGTTGTTTTTATTATTCCACTAGCTGTAATGCATCTGAGTTGGCCTGTACTTTGCTAGATTTGTGCTGTTATGCAAAGAAACATCCTTTGCCTCTCTTTCTTTCTTTCTTTGTTCTTTTCTTTCTAAAAAGATACTCTTTACTACCCCTTCCCAAAAAATAAAAATAAAAAATTTTGTGATTTGGCTTCTATTCACCCATTCCAAATCTGGGCAATCTCATTCTTGGAGCATATTTAATCAAAAAGGTTCAATCTTTTTCTTCTTCAGCTGTAGTTATAATTGAAATTTTTTCCAATTCTTGGATTGTTGGGGTTTTGAAATGTTGTCATTACATAGTTTTTTGTTTGTATTGTTGTTGGGGTTTTTCTGTGTTTGTTCTGGATTTGATCCTTCTGATGAGTACTTAATAGACTGTGGATCTTCAAAAGATACTAATTTTGGTAATAGGGTTTTTGTGTCTGATAAATCTGGTTCGAAGTTTCTGTCAGTTTCTCAAGATATATTAGCTGATAATACAAGGTCTACTGATTCACCCCTTTATCAAACAGCTAGAGTATTTACTCAAACTTCTAGTTATAAATTCCCTATTACTAAAGTTGGAAGGCATTGGATCCGTCTTCATTTTTCCCCATTTGTGTACCAATCTTATGATATGAGTTCAGCAACTTTCTCTGTTTCAACTCAACAAAATGTTCTCCTTGGAAATTTTAGTCCTAAAAAAGATGTATCTGTTAAGGAGTTTTCTGTTAACGTAACGACGGGTGATCTTGTTATCACTTTTTCCCCTTTGAGTGATTCATTTGCTTATATAAATGCTTTGGAAGTTGTCTCTGTACCTGATAGTCTTATAACTAATGATGCCTCGACGTTTGGTCCATCTGGAGTATTTAGTGGTATGTATGCACAAGCACTTGAAACTGTTGCTAGAGTAAATATGGGTGGACCAGCTGTATCGTCTGAAAACGATACATTATGGAGGAGTTGGGTGCCTGATCGGGGTTACTTGACACAGCCGGATTTTGCAAAGTCCTTGTCTAAGATTGGATCTGTAAAGTATTTAGCGGGTGGAGCAACATCGGATATAGCACCACCGAGTGTTTATGGTACTTGTACTAAGATGAATGTGGATGCTGCTGGTAATGGTGCTAGTGCTAATTTTAATGTGACGTGGGTGTTCAATGTGGATGTTGGTTTCCAGTATTTCATTCGATTACATTTGTGTGATATTGTGAGCACAGCTGCTAATCAGCTGTTGTTTAATATCTATGTTGATTCGTCGAATATAGCTTCTGATTTTGATCTGAGTTCTAAAGTTCAGAGCAGATTGGCTACCGCGTATTACATGGATTTTGTGACACCACAAGCTAATAGCAACAACATTAGCATTAGTATTGGCCCATCTTCAAAGAGTGGTTTTCCAGATGCCTTTCTAAATGGAGTGGAACTGCTGAAGTTGAATAACTCTCAAGGCAGCCTTGCTGATGTTTCCTCTGTTCCTCCTTCCTCGAGCTCGGGCTCGAAAAAGAATATCGGAGTCATCGTGGGCGCGATTGTAGGTGTGACACTTGTGTTGCTCGTTGTTGGTTTTCTGTTTTGTATGCGCAGAAGAAGAAAGCAGGAACAACTCGGCCTGTCGAAAACATGGATTCCTTTGTCTATTGGTGGTGGTGGCTTGTCTCATACTATGGGAAGCAAATACTCGAACGGGACGACCTTAAGTGCTGCTTCTAACTTGAGTTATCGCATCCCTTTTGCAGCCATGCTAGCAGCAACCAAAAAGTTTGATGAGAGTTTGGTCATTGGGATAGGTGGCTTTGGTAAGGTATTCAAGGGCGTTTTAAACGATGGGACGAACGTAGCTATTAAGAGGGGTAATCATAGCTCCCAACAAGGTCTTAGAGAGTTCCAAACTGAAATAGAGATGCTCTCTCAGTTCCGTCATCGTCATCTTGTTTCATTGATTGGATATTGTGATGAAAAGAATGAGATGATTCTTGTGTACGAGTACATGGAAAATGGGACCCTCAAGAGCCATCTGTATGGTTCGGATATGCCTAGTATGAGCTGGAAACAGAGGCTGGAGATTTGCATTGGGGCAGCCAGAGGTCTACACTACCTTCATACTAGCTACGCCAAAGCAGTTATACATCGTGATGTCAAATCAGCAAACATATTGCTTGATGAGAATATGATGGCAAAAGTAGCTGATTTCGGACTTTCTAAGGCTGGACCTGAGCTCGATCAAACTCATGTTAGCACGGCAGTGAAAGGAAGCTTCGGGTACCTAGATCCTGAATATTTCAGGAGGCAGCAACTGACTGAAAAAAGTGATGTTTACTCTTTTGGTGTTGTTCTGTTTGAAGTTCTTTGTGCTAGGCCTGTAATCGATCCGTCTCTTCCAAGGGAGATGGTTAATTTAGCCGAATGGGCAATGAAGTGGCAGAAGAAGGGACAACTAGAGCAAATCATAGATCCCAATCTTGCTGGAAAAATAAGACCGGATTCCCTAAGGAAGTTCGGTGAAACAGCAGAGAAATGCTTGGCCGATTTTGGCGTGGACAGACCTTCAATGGGCGACGTGCTGTGGAACCTCGAGTATGCACTTCAACTACAAGAGGCAGTTATTGAGGTCGATCCTGACGAGAACAGTAGCAATCTCATCGGAGAACTCTCTCCTCAGGTAAACGATTTCAGTCACGTCGATGCCACTACTTCAGCAATGCAATTCGAAGGGTCAAATCTAGATGATCTATCTGGAGTTTCCATGAGTAAAGTTTTCTCACAATTGGTTAAGTCTGAAGGAAGATAAATTTGGTGAAAGATTGTATACAATTGTACTCCTTTTTTTCTTAGCTCCTCTTTTAATTCCACTTTTTTGTTCATTAATCATGTGAAGATTGTACTTTATTTTTTTAAACTATAGTTTTACATGTACTACTTTTGTTATGAATATAAAAATTATTCCAGCATAAAACTTGTCAATTATTGATAACCTCGGTTTTCGATACATCGATTAATCTTTATGTAGGTGTTATTCGGAGAATAATTAATCGATCTAGATTTATGAATTATTATTATAGAGAATTTGTGAGTAGAATTGGAAAAGAAGGGCAAATGAAATGAGGAACCATAATAAGAAATGAAGTTTTTTTTGTTAAAAACAAAAATTATTTATTTTGATTTGATGTGTTAAACCACTTTTGGGTTGTCTTGCAGCTTACATTCTAATTAAGTCAATTATATGAGTCACTATTTACACAAATAAAAATCTCTAATTAGATTAAAAGGACTCGAAACAAGAAGTTGTAACTGTGTGGAAAAATAGTAGTTTTTTATTTGAAGAAAGATTTATTTCAAAAGTAGCAATTTTATAGTATATTTTTCTTTGAAGTTCAAAACACCAAACTTTTTTTTTTGGTAAACACCGCACTAGATACGGTCGGCCGTGCACCAATAATATTAATGTTTATAGCAATTAGTTATACGTTTTATAATTAGAAAATTATTTGGGCGGATATTTTTTAGGAAAATAATTATTGATTTAGTGGTATTTTTTATATATATAACTATAATTTATAGTAATATATAAATTAAAAGTGATCTAACAAACTATAAGTTATTTTTTAAATTCAAAATATAACGTAAAATTAGTTTTGAATTTTCATCAATAAAACATAAATTTTCAATAAAATCAATTACTCCCTTTGTTTCAATTTATGTGATACATTTCGTTTTTCGAGAGTCAAACAATTTAAGTTTGATCGAGAATTTGCGCATGACATCTTCAATTTTTTTTAACGAAGTTTATATATTTATGAAATACATAAAAAGTACTATAAGTTACAATAATTGATTATCGAAAAACTTTGAAAATGTATGAAAAATTTATGATCAAAGATAGATTTATTTAAATTTCAAAATTCGAAATGTATCATATAAATTGGACCGGAGGAAATAATAAATTTTACCGAAGAAAAATCATGCGGAGAGAAGTTCTATATTAGAATTGTTTTGCTGAAGCTTAAAAGTGAAGAGAAAGAGTTGAGTGGGATCCATTACTTAGATGATGTAACTAAAGGTTAATTATGTGAGAGAATTCCAAAAAAGTCAGTTGCAACAAGTTGAACATTAGAAGCTATAAAATAAAAGTAAAAGACGAAAAAATCCTCAAGCTATTATAGTAATTCGAGGTTGCACACACATTGACAGAGACGTGTGTGCTATTCCCCTTTCGTATATGTAAAACAACAATAGCCATATATATTTTGAGGGCTTAAGTCACGAGTTCGAAGCCAAAAGGACAATTTTTTTCTTCCAAAAAACATAAACGATATATCAATTATTTTTAACCAAAACAGTGAAATCGCTGCTGAGGGAGCGATATCTTTTAACGTCGTGTATACCGTTAAAACTTCATTAAAAATCACTAGCCAACAACGAATTTAGGATTTTTTTTTTTTGGTAAAATCGCTGCCTCTGCAGTGTTATTCTAAAAAAATAAAATTAAAACATTAAGGAAAATTGTTGCCAAAGCAGCAAAAAAATTTAAATTAAAATCGCTATAATTTTTTTTTAAAAAAAAAACGCTGGGCAGCGATATTAGGGAATTTTTTTTTTCAAAAACGTTGCCTCAGCAGCGGTTTTATAATTTTTATAATTTTTTTAGAATAACGATGTTGAGGCAGCGATTTTACAAAAAAAAATATTTTTTCCTAAAATCGTTGTTGGGGCAGCAATTTTAATTTAATTCAATTTTTTTTTGACAAAATCATTGTTGGAGCAATGATTTTAAATGAAGTTTTTAACGGCGTGCACGACGTTCAAAGATATCGCTCCCTTAGTAGCGATTTTGCCGCTTTGGTTTAAAAAAATTAGTATGCCATTTATGTTGTTTGGAGGAAAAAAGTTGCACTTTTGACTCCGGACTCCTTAAGTCATCTGCGGCCCCTTAAAGTTGTCTGCGTAATTTATTTAGACAACTCAACTAGACCTAGTACCTATTGAACACCTCTACCAGCCAATATTTTAACCATTTAAACATTTTTTTTTGTCACTTTTCATATATTGTGTGGCGCATGTTAATAAGCTCCCCACGTGTATAAAATGACCATTTAACAACTACCACGTGTATCTGAAGTGTATTTGTTAATGGGTTAAATGGGCAAAATCTCTAAATCGTTAACTTTGACAGAATTGAAGTTCTATCTCTCTCTTCGCGATTTTTCCAAATTGAAGTTCTCTATCTTTGCGATTTCTTTCAGATTGAAGTTGAAATTGTCTTGTTCGTGTTATGGTCTTGAAGGTTTCTCTGTGTAAGTTAGGATTGTTAATATTTTCTACATGCTTTGTGAAATGAATTAAAAAGCTAGGGTTTTGTTAAAATCTAGGGTTCATGATTTTTGCGAATATTCTATCCTTTTTTTTACAATTTCCCAGTACATATGCTTTTAAGATTTGATTTTTAGTTGTTGTATGAGTTATATGAGTATATTTCAAAATGGACCACTTTTCCATTTTGGAACTACTATATTATACTAAAGAATTGAGGTATGAAACTGTTGGAGGCTTTTATGCCAAGGATTTATTGAATAAACAATTTGTCTTAATTACATATGACCAACATCTTCTACACCTAATTAAAAACATAAAACATGAGGACACTTTTGAAGTATTTGTCTGTCATGTATTAGATAAACCCTCACTTGACACTGATGGACCCACTAGCTATCTAACTAATGATAGTATTGATGTTGGTGAGGCTGTTGACCTAGGTGGAGAGGGTGAGGCTGTTAACCTAAGCGGTGAGAGTGTTGATGTTAACCTTGGTGAAGAGGGTGAGGCTGTTAACTTAAGTGGAGATGGTGAGGCAATTAACTTAGGTGGAGAGGGCGACAATGTCAATCTAGGTGGAAAGGGTGTGGATTGTGGATGCTAACCTAGGTGGAGAGGATGTGGATGATAACCTAGGTGGAGAAGGTGAATCTGATTTCTTGAGTAGTGATTCAAATCTAGGGGATATACCTTCAGAAGATGGCTCAGATATTGATGAGGAGTTAAGAGCTTTTAAACAAGAAACAAAAAACAAAAAATAGAGGAAAAATACTATTGAAATATGAAGAAATACCAATTGGAGAGGCTGGTGGTATCGATAGAGGCTTTGAGGATATTGGAAAAAATAAAACTAACAAATATGCAGGAAAATTAGGTGGAGATGAAGATTATCTTGTTAGCTCTGACTATTGGAGTGATGATAGTGATGAACCACCTGATGTGAATGATGTTAGGGGAGTAGATATACCTGCTAGAAGGAGAAGCAAAAAAGTCAGATATGATGAAGATTGTGAAGTGTCAATAATTGAGCTTGGAATAGTCTTTAAGGGTGCAAATCAGTTCAGGAAGGCAGTGTTAAATTATTCTATAGATTGCATGATAGAATTGCATCTCAAACATAGATAAGGATTTGAAAAATTCAAGATTTGGTAAGAAAGAAGTTGGGTCTTTATGTTGGTAAAACTGTTTGTTACATGGCTGAACAGAGAATTATGAAGGAAAACATGGGTGATTGAAAAATCAAAATTTGCTAGATTATGTGACTATGACTATGCATATATAATCAAACAAACCAATCCTGAAAGCTCTTGTTGGCTAAAAATTGATAAGGAAACTGAACCAGGAAAGAACCTTTTTGTTTATTTTTATATGTGCTTTCATGCATTTAATCAAGATGGTTAGAGAAGTGTAGGAATAATTGGATTTGATGGTTTTTTTCTCAAGTGAGCTTGTAAGGGTGAGCTATTAGCTGTTGTTGGAAAGAATGAGAACAATCAAATGTATTCCATTGCCTGGGCAGTTGTGGATACATAAACAAAACATAGTTGGAGTTGGTTCATAAGATATTAAATTGTTGATCTAAATTTGAAAATGGGTGAAGGTTTGACTGTAATGTCAGATATGCAAAAGGTATTGATTACACAAATTCTTATATTTTAGTTCTAATTTGATCTTTACTACTTCAATTTCTTATTATGTACATATTTTTTGTTAGGGACTTGTTCCTGTATTGTTAGAGTTGTTACCTGCAATGACCCTCATGGTCATTTCTGTGTCTTGCCTTCTGTGTGTCGTTTAGAGCGTTCCTATAGTGACCCCAAGTCATTTATGACTTGCTGGGACTGACAGTTCGGTCACCTGGTCGTTCGTTTGGTCTTGGTGCGAGTTTTTGTGTTTTGGAGCTTATGAACCTTGAATGATCATTTTCGATCAAAAGTTCAAGAAGATGACATCAGAATCCAATTCTGACGATTCCATCAGCTTCGGAAGGGTCATTTTAGGCTTGTAGCATGGTCGACATGACTCCCGAGGTTTTCAGTGTGAGTCGGTGCGATTAGGCGTTTTAACTTTAAGTTTAAGCCTAAGTTTGAATTTGGTCAACATTCTGAGTAAACGCGCTCGGATGAGAATTCCGTCAGCGTGGTTAGCCTAAGTGATTTGGAGTCCCCGTTTGAGGTAATTTTCGTAAAATACCTGCTGCCTCACCCTTTTTGTGAGCTTAATTTTGGAAATTTTTTAGACTTGTTTTCTTAGCCATTTTAGATCCGATTTTGGTGATTTTTGAGGCTATCTTGAGTGGTTTTTCGAGGAGAACATTGTGGTGTTGTCAGATTTTACTATAGACCGCTCGTTTTTGGTAAATTCACTGCTGTCCCATTTCTAATTTTTGAGAAAATTTGGGTTTTAGTTGCATGTTGATATTGTGTTGTTCCCGAGCCCCGAATTGTGTCCCATTTTGGGACATGAGCTGGGAAAACTGGTTAGGACCCACTTTTGGGGTTAATTTCGGAATTTCCTGCGCGGGTCCCACTTTCCCCGTTTTGAC